TATAGTCAAAATATTGTAACTTGATATGGTCATAGCTGGTACCTAGAATTATCATGTATACAAATGTTCAATCAGTGTGTTGTACACCTGAAACTAATGTAATACTGTGTGTCAACTACCCTTCAATAAAAAATAATTATCTAAAAAAAAAGAACACATATGTACACAACCCATGTTAATATTCCCCCTTTTTTTTTTACTAAGGCTGAGTAACAGATCCTAGAGTGACAGACAGCATCAGGATAGACTAATTTTTCTGGAATTTGGGACTTTATGGATTTTCCATATTATTGTTTAATCTGCTGATATAAATGTAGGCATCAGGGGAATTTCTATGAAATTATAAGAGAAATAGGTGGTAGAGTAGCTGTAATGATGAGAAGTCCTACTTCAAATTGCATTTCAACACCTGATAAAAAGGATCATAAAAATTAGGTCAAATAGCATAGGTACAGAATTGTAGGTTGCTGAAAAGGCCTGCAGCTAACACTTGTGGACGGGGAGAGAGTTCAGATGGAAGCTCCAGTTCCATTTGTCCCTCTCTAACTTTATCTTGCACCTTGAGAGCTTGCCCATGCAGGTGGCATCCTGAATTCCTCCCTGAGTGGGTAAGTTCATGGCCAGTGGAAAGCTCTAGTGTGGGGCCCAGATCAAGAGCCCTGGTTACTGGGATCCAAAGGTGGTGCAATTGCGGATAACTCATCTAGTGTTTAGGAAAGTGTGAACCTTTTGGCCTGCTCTGGAAGCTTTCTCTGCTTTGGGGGGTGCGATGAGATGGGCTTGTAAACTAGTTGGAACTCTACTTCAGTGTTACCTGATACATGGGTCATAGGCATCTGGGTAGCTTTGGAGTCATTAACAGGGGTTGGCAAATCTGAATGGTTTTATAGCATTGTCTTTAGAATTAATAAACATACTTTAATCAACAAATATTAATTTGTCAAAGGTATACTGCTGGATTGAATAAAATGTAACTATATATTAAAGTGTTAAAATCAGTGAAGTTTTTCATTATTATGTACATTTTTTTTAGTCAATGAATACCAAAGGATAGCTACCATCAGTGGTGGTCTAATTACCATATATTTTTTTAATTCTAGAAGATGTTCTTCCTACAAAAACAATTTGAGTGAAACTAATTTAGCTGCTATTAAAAGAACTTGAAAGACTTTATTTTAATTACACTGTCAGGACTGAACAAGTGCAATCTTGCGTTGTCAATTACATTTTTGGGATGGGGAACTAGCCTAAAGGGTTACTTGACAGAGGAGGATTTTATTCTGCTTCTTCAGTAACTCAGGCCAAAGAATTTTAAATGCTTCCAGGTTGCTTTTAGAGTGAGGTTTCAATACAAGGGTAGGTTACGATGTGAGAAAATAAGCCAACACAATTTAGTTGTTATTTGTGTCTAATAATTGAGAGGATATGAATCATTATCCATTCTAGTTAAATCCATGGCACCCTCAGTTATAACCTAGGTCAGTGTTTTGGGTAGGATTCTGGTAGGAGACTGATGACAAACTCAGTGGATTACAGAAGTGTGGGTGGGGTTCAGGAAAAGCAAGATGGTTCAGTGCCCTAAGGCCAGGCATGAAGGGGAAGAGGAAAGACAAGTTCCAGTATGTGAAGAGGAGATATAGAGAGGACCAAGTGACAGGATCTGTGGCCTTCAGGAGACAAGTTTTGTAGTAAGACTGCCAAGGGAAGAAATACCCTGAGACTTCTCCGGGCCACCCTCTGCGTCTCCTTGGAGGGTCTCCCTTAGGACAGTCCAATCAGAAGAGGAGGGCAAGGGAGACAGAGCACAGAGTGAGGTGGAGAAGGATGGAGTGGCTCTGGAGGGACAAGTGGAAGATATTCAGCAACCACACTCAATCTCATATCAAGTATCTGTCTTTCACACCATGGACAGGGTGGTCATGTCTGGATTTGTAACAGCTTATGACTCATTTCTTTATGATTTAATCATGCTGTGTGTATTTGGCTAAATCCCTCGACTTCTCTGGGTTTTATGTTTACATTTGTAAAATGTGGATAGAAGACTTCCTTTCCCAGGTTGTTCTTGGGTTTAAGAGATGTCATGTAGATTAGAATATAGCAGCATCTGTTTGATTCTGAAAACTTCAGGGAAGTAATTAATCATCTCTCATCTTTGCTCTTGTTGGTCTGCTACTAAGTGTCCACTGCATGATCTGTGCTTAGGAAATTTATATTCATGGTGATTTTTGAACTAGTTAAGAATGTATTGTATGGGGATATCAAACTTGTATACTTTACAATCATTGACTGTAGTCTCATTTTAGTATGCCTCACTCATGTAATTTTACTATTTCTCAATTTATTTTGATGCTGATATGACTAATAAAATATAAATTTATTTAAGAGTGCTATGCACCTTGTTTTGCTTATCATAGTGATATATTTTCTCTATCAAAGGGATACTAAAAGCACATATTTTCTTGTGGGGTCAGGTCAAGAAAACCATTTTTGCAATTCTAAAAGAATTCTTCATACTTAATATGTCTAGGGAGTACTGATCTATTTTGGCTTCATGTGTAAACTTGACTTAGATTTTAGAAAGAAATTTTAGGCCCTAAACAAACATCTGCTTTTGAAGACAAGTTTTTCCCCATACTGCATAATACATTTGAAGGCAGAATCAGTACCAAGGACAAGGGAGTACCTTTAAAATGGAGTCTCCCCTTTCAAACTCTTAGTGCTGATAATAAATAGGAAAAAGTCTAATTTTGGGTAATGCTCCCATATAGAATGAAATCTGGAAAAGAAAATATATATAATTTTGAAAAGAAATAACTCATGTTTGGTAAAAATAAGAAGGGCTGTGTCAGCCTTTTGCTCTTCTGTCAGTGTCTCCATGTACATCCCAGTTCTTCTTCTATTTAAGTTACACGCAAAAGGTGGTGAGAAGAGAATAGCCTGTGGATCCAGACACACTTGATTTCACATCCTGGATCTACAAGTATCCAGTGTGTGAATTTGAGTACTTTACGTCTAACTGGGGCTAATGTAAAAATATCCAGATTGCAAGGTTATTTTGAGTTTTGATGAGATAGATTGATATTGTGGGGATGAGAACAAATTAATTTCCCTGCTTGGGGGCTGTGCAAAGCAAGGTGGGGAGTTTCCCTGAGGAAGTGACACTTAAACTGAGATTCAAAGGAAGGGTGAGGATTAGTGGGTTAGTAAGACATAAAATGGGATCACTTGCATTCTGTTACTATGTGCTACACATGTTCTGCTTGCTTTACATAAAAACTCATTTCATTCTTACAACAATCCTGGAGTGGAACTACCATCATTATGCCTGATTACACAGGTGAAAGAATCAAGATATAAGAGGTTAAAAACTTGCCTGATTGCTTGAGGTTGCAGAGACAGTGAGTAATGGAGTTTGAACCTGGTATGCTGCTTCTGGAGTCATGTAGCAAAGACCTCTGCAGCAAATGGCTTGTGCAAAGGGCCTGTGCCCTTGCAAGCTCACCCTGAGATTGGACAATACTTCTCCAACACTGACACCTCTCCTGTCCTAAGGAGAATTCTGGGGATGTAGTGTCCTCCACCTTGTTTGATCTGTAAGCCCCTTACATGGTGCTGACCAACAAGTGATTTTAGAGCTAGGGCACTGAGGGTGAATGGCCCAGAATAAAGAAGAAAGGACAATTGCCCACTGTGTGGAGTGGCCAGGAAGCATCTCAACATGAGACTTGTTGGCATCCATCTCTATACGGTGATCACTTCTGGAAAAAAGAATGAAAAGGACATACCTATGGTAATGTAAGTAGTTAGTAAAATACAGATTGAAACAGTCCTTTCCTGAAAATGAAATTTGCCAGTGACCAAATGCACTGAGGAATTGAATTGAATTGACTTGAATACACATTTGAGAACCTACCTAGTGGAATTCCACTGAACTGATACTGGAACTCAAAAGGTGAAGAATCAACAACAAAAAAGGTGACACTCCAGTAGAACTAAAGTACAACCACATCACAATATTGATGGTTATTCATTACAAAATACAAATACACTGAGCTGTATATCTGAAGGAAGGGGAAATTTAACTCCACCTAAGGTAGGAGAGCATAAAGAAAAATCTACCTTGCATTTGATAAAAGGAAGATACCCTTTCAGCTAGTCCCATTTGCCTCACTACTTAGTTAGCAAATATTTGTATATCCACAACTATGTATCAGACGCTATCTTAGTAGTAAGGAGAAACTAAAGAACAGGTTTTCCCCACTGTCAGAAAGTAGAGTGTTCCTATGAAAACTTTTAAGTTAAAATGGCATAAGTCAAAGCAGCAATTACCAGATTTATATGGAAATTTTTTGAGCATTCCCATACCCACCAAAACAACCTCTCTTTGGTCTTTCTGATAACTTTGGGCATATCATGCTTATGGATGCACAAAATAAATTGAGATAAAGCACAGATGCTTACAGACACAGCTCAAAGCTCCTGACTTCCGGTAATTACATGCTAAGTGTAGTTCCCAAGAAATGAGCTTGGTGGCGCCATTATGGCTGCTCAAGTGCGGGCTGCCTCTGTAATTGTTGGCTGAAAAACACCAAATGCTCAATTGGCTTTTTACTTTTTTAACTAAAAGCAAAATTCCTCTTCGGATTTCTTTTGGTGAGCGAAAACAGGTACTACTGTAGGTCTTTCGTAAAAGTGATATGGGATAAAGCCAACGTTTCAAAAGTTGGGGATACCCATAGTCCTAAAGATTTGCCGTAAAGGTTAAGAGGAAGATATGCGGCAGGGCGTACCGCAGTCAATTTGGTAATGATTTCTCTAAGCACAAAAGGACCTCTAACTGTCAGAACAGCAAGTATGGTAAGCCTGGGTGTCAAAGGGGCACCGGAGCAGACCTCTGAAGCTACCCTTCAGCATGTGCACTAACACTTTAAGGAGCTGGAAGTAGTTTCTCCTTGCTCGCTGCTCCGCCTCCCTCCAAGGTGTCCACGGCGGCCACGCCCCTGCGCACTGGTTGGTTCTTACAGACATGATGAAACTTCCCGCACGTCTTACAAGACCCACGCTGATGTAAAGTGAGAGGAGACCCGCTGCTCCGCCCGCCGTCTGCAGCTCCCGCTGGAGGCTGCGGCCCAGCCGACCCGCCTGATCCCCCAGGTAAACCGCCCCCGACCAGCGCCGCGCCCTCCCGGCGTGCCCGGTGCTGCCGCGGCGGGAGGATGTGCCGCAGCCCGACCAGCAGCCTGGGCAGAGGCGATTCTGGGGCCCGGGACTGGGCGATTCCTGTCGGATGAAGGGGGCGGGGCCTATTTTTGCGCCCCTGGGAGCAAACTGGGGAGGAAAGAGCTCTGTCGCGGTTCCGGAGACGGGAACCGAGTGAAGGGCAGAGGGCAGAGGTGAGGAGGCCTGGCTGAGGCCTAAGTCGGCTCCTGTGAATATTATTTTTTATTGTATTGCATCAGAGCCTCTGGATATGTTCGCAGTTCGGAGCCCTACACCATATGGACCTGAGGGTGCACGTGGCCTCAGTGCGGTGGGGAGTTAGGTGGCTACGCGGTGGCTTGGTCCTGGCCCAGGAGGGAGGGTCTTCAGAGTTGTTGGTCTCGGCTTTGGGGGTGGTCTGTATTACCCGCCCATTTCTGCTCCCCCTTCACCCAACCACCCCTTCCCCATCTCTGTAGCCTGCAAGACTCAACAAGTGACCTGCTGAGCCAACCCTACCAAGAAATCTCTTCAGGGCGGCAGGCGGCACGGTATGGAAAAAGGCAAAAGAACTGGCAAGCCTTTTCTCAGCTGTCTATTCCATAGGGCTGATTCAGGTTAATGTTACTATTTTGAATAAATGGACAGTTTTCTTCTCCATCCATAACCTAGTTATTTCTCCACTGTTCATTGTCCCAGGTGCTTGACTAATAATTTAACAGTACTGATAACTCTTTTGTCATTGATTGCATTACTGTAAGATTAGTTAATTTAGATTTTGGACTCTCCAGGAGTTCGTTGCGGAAATCTTAATGTAAAAATAAAGTGATGTGGTAAAATTTAACTAGTTAATAAGTAACTTAGATATTAAATGCACTGAAACAACACTGTCCAATATGTTAGCAACTAGCTGCATGTGACTGTTGAGCACTGCAACTGCCAGGTAATCTGAATTGAGATGTACAGTTAGTGTAAAATACACTGCATGTTGACAATTTAAAGCCATGTAAAATACCTCGCTGATTTTTTATATTGATTACATGTTGAAATGATACTGTTTTGGGTACATTGTGTTAAGTAAAGTGTATTTTAAAGTTATTTTCACCATTTTCTCTTTACTTTTTTAATGGGGTTACTCATATTTAGAATTACATATGTGGCTCACATTTCTTTTGGACAGATCTGCTCTAGATGTTTATAAGAAAGTATGAAAAATTACTGGGAATAAGTAGTAGTGGTAGGAAATGCATTGCAAATAGGAACTTTGCAGGTAAGACTGATTCCAATAAAAATAATAGGTGATAGTTTTAATTTGATTTTTCCTGCTGGAGAAATAAGTGTGCTTCACAAAAATTTGTTTGCCCTCTTTCAGCCCTTATTTAGTGCTTAGTGTGTGTTTCCTATAGCAGGCATAATAATGGGATTTACCAAGCAGCAGCACAGAAGATTAGGTAAATGATTATCTAATGACCTCAAGTGATTTTAAAAGCACTTTCTTTTAATTGGTACAGAGTCAAAGGTGGATGGCTTCCCAATCATCATCTCACTTAAAATTTAGTGAATTTTCCCACTAAATCTCAAAGTAAATATCTTTCTATAAGCAATTTGGTCAAGTGCATTGAAAGGACCACACAGACTATGTGATTATTTCCAAGTGGTTTGAGTTATACCATTCTCCATTAATTTGATCTGGTCTCATTAAAAGACCAAACAAAGCTTTGGTTCATTTAAATACAAATGAAATGTCCTCAGAGGATTGTTTAAAGTGATTGATGTAACTTGAATATATATATATTTTCTTAACGGTTTTTATCCCAAATTATCTAGGCATTTGCTGCACAGTTGCATTTAAAAAACACCAAAATAGTTTCCAAGTTGCAGATATTTTGGTAAAATAATTGTTTTGAGCTGGCAGCATCTAAATAAAACAGCCTTTATTTCACAGTCAGAAATATTAAATTGCATAGTTAATTAACATTTGTAGGAATTATGTATTTGTTTCTTGGCCTACAGGGATTAGCCAGGTTGTTTTTCAGAGGTGTTGTCACTGTGTATGTCCCACCTATTTTGCTTTCTTAATGACTGAGGCAGCTTTAAGACAAAAATACTTGTTTTTGTCACTTAGGACATTTTGATGCTGAACATTTTGTATCTCTATCAAAATGTTTTTTTTGTTGTTATTTTTTGCAGGATGATGTCTGACATCAGATAAGATTGCTTTCTTTTTTTCTCAAGATTTTCTTTTATCACATTTGAATGAATCACTTAGATGTAAGCTGGGAGTTGAAATGCTTATAATAGCTGTATATCTTAATATCACACTTTAGCAGTATGTATGATGTTCTTTTCTACTATGTATATTCTGTGTGCAGTTAGTATAAGTAAAGAGATGACATTAATTGTCAAGGAGACTCAAGAAGAGACTGTAGTAATCTGGAGAGTTTTTTTGGATTTTTTTAGAGCTTTTGAGATTCTAGTATGGAGAGAGTGGGTCTGTGTTCTCTGGCTAGGTTGCAGCCAGCCAGCATGTGTATTTGTGTCTTGGAAGTAAATGTAGATAGAGACCTAGAATATAGCATGAGCACTGCCAGTTGTAGCTAATTAAATCCTAAAGTGAGAGATGCAGGCTTTGTCTGGGTTCTGAGTTGGTAAAATTGTCTGGATATAAAGGTCTTCCATCTTTTCTGATTATATAAGTAAATTAAATCATTCTCTACTTCTGTGTGCCTGTCAGTCTAATGGAAAATTGCTGTGGATAAGTTGTTTGTATTTCAGTATTTGAAGTGGTTTATTCAAGTTTTTAGAATCAAGATTAAATACAACTTGGACTGGATATTGAATATTTAACAGGTCTGCTTTTCTCTCCATAGAGAGCCTGTAACTCCATTGTACCATGTGTGGGATTTGGGCCCTCTTTGGCAGTGATGACTGCCTTTCTGTTCAGTGTCTGAGTGCTATGAAGATTGCACACAGGGGTCCAGATGCATTTCGCTTTGAGAATGTCAATGGATACACCAACTGCTGCTTTGGATTTCACCGGTTGGCGGTGGTCGACCAGCTGTTTGGAATGCAGCCAATTCGACTGAAGAAATATCCTTATTTGTGGCTCTGTTACAATGGTGAAATCTACAACCATAAGAAGGTAACCAAATGAAGCCAGAAGATCTCTGGACATGATTAAGCAGAGCTAGTCGATCGTAATCATTTTGTTTATTTTGTACAATACGTCAGTGTTTATTATCTCATTTGCTCTAATTATATAGACAGGGCACTGATGCATAAAGAAGTGAAATGACTTGATCACCAAAAAATAATAATAAAATGGGGATTACAATTCAAGTTCTTGAACTTATAGAATCTTTTTTTCTTCCTATTATGAATTTGAACATCAAGTGGCCTGTGCTAGGCTCTGTGTTAGGCACTGGGCATACAGTAGTAAATATGAGGCAGGTCTACACCCTAATGGAGCTTATTCTGTTGAGTGAAGACAAAAAATTCATTATACATATAATAGGCATTCTGAAAAAATGAATATGGAGCTGATGGATGTGGGAGATCCAATTCCAGTAAGGGTGGTCAGAGAAGGCCTTCTGAGGAGTTGACACTGGAACTGAAATCTAACAGACAAGGATCAGCTAGGAGGACTGAGAAGAACATTTGATACAGAGGGAATAGTGTGTGTAGAAGCCCTGAAGCAGGAAGTAACCTTGGGATTGTCATAAGTGAACAGGTTGGGGTCAGGTGGGGCAGGTAGGCAAGGTTGGGTTGAGAAAGTAGGCAGGACTAGATCAAGCAGGACTTGGTAATGTGGTAGAATATCATTCCAAAAGCAGTGAGATTTGAGGATTTTAAGGCAGAAATAGTTAATACTTTGGAGGTGATCGTATCTAGTTTTTATATAACAGTGCCCTTAAGATTGTATTGTTCTTGCATACTTAATCGGATCCAAAAGACAGAAAGGTGGCCAGATGCAATGGAGTAAAACTTTCAGCAGCATTAACATTGGAACAGCTTTCTAATCTGGTGAAAGCTTACTCTCAGGATGGGAATTTGCCCCAAGGAAGCCAAATTTACTGAGACCCTTCCAATCCAGAATTATTTGGCTAGTGTTTCATAAGAAACTTTTAAGCTGAAATTTGCAACTAATTTTTTGTTTGCTACCCTTCTCCCCAACTTCTAGTTTTGAAAATTTCAGACATACAGAAAAGAACAAAACAATGAACACATGGATTGAATAATGTTCATGTTTTGCCATATTTGTTTCTCTCTCTGTATACACACACACATTCATTTTTTGGCTGAATCATTCTTCTGTCTAACACCAATGCTATTACTAAACCTAAGAATCCATAATACCATATAATATTCAGCTCATATTTAATTTCTTCTAGTGTCCCACGAATATCATTATAGCTGTTTCTTGTTTTGGTTTAAGCCAGATTTCATTCAAGGTTCAGACATTATATTGATGTTTCTCAGTGGTTTTTGAGCCTACTTGATATGTGCCTCTCATTCCCTGGTGCCGTATATTCTAGCCCCTTTCAGACATTCTTATCTCTGAATAATAGCTTTGCCATTGTTTGTTGTCTGCTTATAGGAACACTCTCTAGGCTTCACGTTTGAGAAGATTTTATAGTTATTCAGCAGATTCTTTTCATACACTTATTCAAGGCTTATTACACACCAGGCATCATTTTTCTAGGTACTTGTAAATGAAAGGGTGAACAGAAAGGGTTAGAATTCAATTTCATGCTAGTGGGATAGATAAGGGGAGCGGTTAAAAATCCTTTCTTACTGAGCTAAATTAGTACCACATACATAAGAATAACAAGTCAAATGGTCGCATGATTTCTGGGTGGTGGCAAGATATGAGGGCTTTTTTCTAACTGGGTTTCAGGAGAGAAAAAATTAGTACATATAAATCGTTAACCAATAAATTAAACTGCCAGATTTAGGCCAAAGAACAGTGATGATGAGGTGATGGAGGTCAGATTTGGGAATCTATTGCTGAATTCAATAAATTTAATGATTGCTTTAGAGTCATTTATCCTTCAGATACTTAAGCCCAGAAAGGTCAGTGAAAGACTGTTTCCAAACCCCTCCTGCTAGTGACAAGATCATCCCAGATAGTATCACAGAGCACAGCGAGTTGAACAGGAGGTGGCTTTGTCATCACTGGAGACCACCAAAGCCCATTTTTGGACAGTTCTGTGAGAGCTTATAGGCAAAAGTTTCACAAATTACAAAGAGCACAAGATTTTGAAGCATGTTTATAGATCATACATATATAAACATGCAAATTTACTTTTTGAAATTTCAAAACATGGTTTAAATGTTTAAACTTATCCAGTATTTCCACTCAAATCTGTGTATGCGAACCACCTCTCTCACTATTGTCAGCCAAAAATTTGAGTAAGTGTGAAGAAATACCAAGGACCTTTCACCCTCAATTTTCCAGTGGCAATGGAGAGCCATAGAGTTAGGGCATAACTTAATCACACCATTTCAGCTCTGTATGCTGGGGTGCTGATGGGCTCCTTGCTGTTCCTTTGGGGCGTCCGGACTCTGGAAGCCCCTTTATCATTTTGTCTATCAATGAGAAGTAGCCTTAATGCCACTGCAGAGGTGGAAGGACTGAGTGTTTGGGTCTAGCAGCTTTGTTTGGACCATGTGTCTGTCATTGTGATGGCATAATTTATTTGTCAGGAATAGAGCCAAATATGTTTGTCCTTTTACTTTCTATTTTCATAGGTAGGTCTTTGAGGCTGAACAGGAAAAACCTCAGTTTGTACTACATACCAAACCAAAATATCATGGTTATAAAAGATATATTTTTAGTGTCAACTTGATATATTTTTAGTGGCAACTGGGGGCAATGTATTTGCTGAACTTACATATACATATAAATATACATGCATTACAAAAACACAGTGTATATGTATATATCTAATAGGCATTTCTATTCCTTCACCTGTTACTGTCTGGTTTATTGCCTCTGCATTTTGTTTGTCAGAATGCAACTAAAATTTCACAGGTTTAACTTTATGTTGTAAAGAATTTGCACAATTGTGAGTTCAAGTAAATTGTATTTTGATAATGACCTGACTTTTCTAAATCACTGAAAGATGATGAAATAATTGTAGGGCACAAAAATATTAAAGCAACCTTGCAATAAAAATTATTACTGAATGCACAAGAATTCTAATATTTTATATTTTGTTATTGCTTCTATAAGATGCAACACCACTTTGAATTTGAATACCAGACCAAAGTGGATGGTGAGATAATCCTTCATCTTTATGACAAAGGGGGAATTGAGCAAACTATTTGTATGTTGGATGGAGTATTTGCATTTATTTTACTGGACACTGCCAATAAGAAAGTGTTCCTGGGCAGAGATACCTATGGAGTCAGACCTTTGTTTAAAGGCATGACAGAGGATGGATTTTTGGCTGTGTGTTCAGAAGCAAAAGGTAATGATAGAATTAATGATAGAATTTTTCTATACATGTTCATTATTATCCTGATTTAGTTTTCTTCTAGATCATATTTGCAAATCCCATGGAGCAATCCAAAACTTATCAAGTGATTAAATTTCTCAGTACTTTTAGAATACCTGTCAAAAGCTACTTATTCTACTCCCTGCTTAAAACTTCTAATGATGCCTTATTCTTGTGTGGCTGCCTTGCAGTTGGCTAGCTAGTGATGGGATCTGGGTCCAATCTGGCCTTTGAATTCAGCATCACACAGATTACTGGGTTAAACTCAAGTTGTAAATCATAATGAGTATTCAGATAGGCTGTTCTTATTTACAACAAAAAATTGATTTTGTATTAGAGATCATGGTGATGTCTTTATAAGAACTTACTAAAGAAATTTAGATTATACTGTTTAACTTGTACAGTATATAATAACTAGTTAAGGGGTAGATAGACTTCTTCATATCTGACTTTAAAGTACCTCATAGTGGATAATTTTGTTTGTCAAAGTACTGGGAACTATGGCTATTTTCTTAAAATACATCAGTGACAACAAAGAAATGACTGCCAGGATGTTTCAAGTCCATCTCTTTGCTAAATAAAAGTATCTTTTTTTTATATATAAATAGATTGTTTTGATCAGAAATTCCAGCTAGGAAGAAGAAATAGAACACTGGAGATTTTCTTTCTGCTTTGAATTACTAGAAATCAGTGTAATTTTGCTGTACATCTCTGTAGTACATTATTATCTCTGAAGAGATGGTAGGGTTTTGGCTGATTAAATTTTTTGTCTTATTTTTATGCCTATAAAATAAAATATAAATATATTTATACATATATTTGTATTAAAAAGGGAAAATAAGCAGGCCTTTAGAGAATATTAACTAATTGTGAAAGTTCTATGAGATATATCTTGAATAAATATATCTTTTTAAATTTGTAGGTCTTGTTAACTTGAAGCACTCCACAACACCTTTTTTGAAAGTGGAGCCTTTTCTTCCAGGACACTATGAAGTTTTGGATTTAAAGCCCAATGGCAAAGTTGCATCGGTGGAAATGGTTAAATATCATCACTGTAGAGATGAGCCTCTGCATGTCCTCTATGACAGTGTGGAGAAACTGTTTCCAGGTAATAAAGCAAACACCCACCTATTTTCTACCTTTCTCTCCCAAAGTAAAAAAAGTGATACTGTCACATCGTTGGAATGATTTAAGCTTGAAGACCTGTTTCCTATTTAATTTGGAGGTGACACACTGGAATTTGGCAAACTCCACATCTGAGCAAATGCCATCATGTAGATGATTATGCACATCATTTCAATAAATAATTCAGTCCAAGCATTTCAGGAGCTATTTCATTTACTTTATGTGTTAATAGGTTTTGAGATGGAAACTGTTAAGAGCAACCTCCGGGTCCTTTTTGACAATGCCATTAAGAAACGTTTGATGACGGACAGACGGATTGGCTGCCTTTTATCAGGTGAAGTCTGTTAAAACACCTAATTACATTTAGGGCATATTTGTTTAAGTTAAATGACTTGTAGGTATCCCTGAGGTTCTGACTATAAAGCATTGATTTCATCTTTCCTCCATTATAGGATCAAAAAGTTTTCTGTAGGTTGCAATCAGTAGTCACAGTAGTACAACAACTTAAAGTTACACTATAATTATATGGTTGGTGTTAAGTGAGCTAGTAAACATTCTTTAGAATTGTGTGTATAGTGATTTTTAATGAATTCAAATACTGTTACCATTATCACAGGTAGTATGTTAGATTTTCTTCTTATTAAAGTTGATTTCAATTCACACAACTTGGAAATTTTATACGGTAAAACTTGAATCTTGGTGCTTGAACAGATATGGTTTATATTCCTGTACTCTCTTATTCAAGGCAGATAACCAGCACACTTCCTGCTTCCTTATAGGGGGCTTAGATTCCAGTTTGGTGGCTGCCACCCTTTTGAAGCACCTGAAAGAGGCCCATGTACAATACCCTCTGCAGACATTTGCAATTGGCATGGAAGACAGTCCTGATTTACTGGCTGCTAGAAAGGTAAGACACTATCTCTACCCTTTGTTTAATTAAGGCAGACTTGTTTTTAGAATCATCAATTACTGATTTTATTTTATCTTATCTTTTGCTCCTATATTGACTCAGTTAATTGTTTTAAATATTTTAAAATGAAATGAAATGCCTGTTGAATTTCAACTGTCCTGTACACTCGGGGTACAGATAGAAGCACTCGGGGTACTTGTATCTACGGAGGCCTATGCAGTCCTCACAAAAACTCTATAATAATTCTATTAATAGGGCAGGCTTTGGAGCCTGACTGCCAATTTCAAACCTGGCTCCACCAAACAATTCCTCACTTATGTGATGGGAGTAGCAGCATCTACTATGGCGTAGGTTTGAGGTGAAAATGATATGATTCAAATAAAGTGCATAAGATAGGACCTAGCAGGTAGTGAGTACTCAGTGAATGTTAGCTGTTGTTTTTAATAAAATGCTGTGTCTAGGACTGTGGTCAGGTGGGACCTTATACATACTCAGTGTGCAGGAGCCCTTGTCACTGCTCTGAAAGAACTTACACAGAATGCATGAGGAAGAGCTAGAGCGTGGTCCCAAAGCCTCTTCATTGGTGCTGAGCAAACCCAAAAGAGCCAAAGAGAACAGAATGAAGGGAGGGGCCATTTTATTGGGGAATCACTTGTAGCTGTAACAGTAGGCATGGCAGGAGGGCCAAAAGGAGACCAAGGTTACAGCAGGACCGCGTTGGACCCGAAACAGATGAGGTGGGTCCTGTAAAATAGGTGCATGTGGGGTTGGAAGGAAGCCTTTGTTCGGTTAGGTTGAAGTCTTGTAGTGGGAATAGTGGATGGGAGATCTGTGTGTTGGTAGTCAAGTGTAGGGCAGAGACTGACGGAGGCAAGGGAGCCTCACTGGGACGGGGCAGGGTGGTCATATGTGGTAGAATGGACAGTCATTTCCCCTTATTTTGCCTAGGTTGTTTTTCCACTACTGTTAATTACGTGTTGTGAACGACTGACATTTTTCATTATCAAGGATAGTTATTTCTTTAAATAACAAGTATATGGATATTTCTGTATATAATCAGGTGGCAAATCACATTGGGAGTGAACACCATGAAGTTCTCTTTAACTCCGAGGAAGGCATTCAGGTCCTGGATGAAGTCATATTTTCTCTAGAAACTTATGACATTACAACAGTTCGTGCTTCAGTAGGTAAATTATTTTAAGATATCCAAAAGATTTTTCATACTGAAAAAGTATAAGGTTTAGAAACTATTATTCTAAGCGACAGTCTGGAAAACAATACTCAAGAATTAATGCAACTAAAATTTCTATGTTAGCAATTATTTAAGACAAGACCATTTAAGAATTCCTGGAATCTCTTTCGGAGTGAAAGGAACAATAAATGCATAAACTTCCATATTTATGGTATTACCATTTTTATTTTTCCAAATAGTAGATACATATTTTCTGTACTCTCCTCCCCCATGTCTCTGTGTAGTTTCTTGGACTACATAAGGAAATATGTCTACATTGTAAGTAATTTTCTGTAAAGAATACTTGTTTTAGATATAGTGGTAAATATTCCATCCTATGACTTATCAATCAGTAACTGTTACTGCCCAGCAAGCAATACTAGTTTTACCCTGTGGATACATACCAAGATCAGAAGTATACTCCAAATCAGACTAATCTAATGTTGTTGGCCTTTAATATGATCCTTGCTTTGATATGCCTCTCTTTTAAGAGCTTCTGAATTGAATAGGACTCCATTGCAAAGTTCAGAGCATGAGAAATCATGTTCTAGTAACATGGGTGATATCACCCACTCAGGAGCAAGATTTGGTTCTTGGAGGGCAAAAACATCTTAGGGATTATAGTTGTTTATGGCCCTGTATATGGAACCACATATACAGTATATCTGGGATTCATACTTGTAAGTCCAGGGAGAGGAAATCCCAGGACAAAATACCTCTAAAAACCAAAATCAGTCAAAGGGAGAAATAAAGTTTAAAATCTGTTTATTGCTTACAAAACTGCAGTCCAGGCCCTTCTCTCTTTCCTGCTCAAGGAGCAGCAAAACCCCTCACTTTTCAGGCGCAGATACGTCCTCTTTTGCCCAGGTAATTACCCATTGATGTGGAGATGAACGTCTCCACCCTTGAGGAAAGATGCAAATGCACTAAAGCCATACTTCTTTCCACCTCTGAACACCTGTTGATATGCATCTGTACCAAAGCCAGGCAAGATATTCTGGAAGTACTACAATTTTACCCACAATACTTCATTGAGGGGGCAATTAGGAAAAAATGTCTAAAAAGTCTCCCTAGGGAAGCACTCATGAAAAAACAGTAAAGAACAAATACTGGTTTACAGGGATGCAGGGCAGGAACCACTGAGCATCTTTTAAGAACTTACATAGTATTCTTAGCTGTATGTGAAATTTGGTGGATGAGGAGTGTTATTAAGAAAACAAAGCCAACTTAAAAAAAAAAATACTTAACTACCAAAACTCCAACTCTCATTTTTTGTATAGTGATACTGATATGAAAAGTGTGAATCTTTTCAGATAGTTGAGTTGTTTTTCAGTTTATCAAAATTTTAAGGTAGACACATTTAGTCTAAAAGCATTAAAACTTTAAATCCTATAGATCGCATTGTGGAGTGGTTTGGGGCTATTTCATTGCAACAGTACAATGAAATGGTACATATAAATAGCTTGTAGATAAAAGGTCGTTATTTTGCAAACCGCTTTGTATTAATACAGAGTCCAATCTAATGGCTAAACTGGCAGTCGTTTCCAAAAGCCAAATAAAAGGCATTTATGGTAGAGAATTATGTTGATTTTAACAATAAATTGTCTCTTATTTTAAGGTATGTACTTAGTTTCCAAGTATATTCGGAAGAACACAGATAGCGTGGTGATTTTCTCTGGAGAAGGTTCAGATGAACTTACTCAGGGTTACATATATTTTCACAAGGTAAGCATTCTGAAATGGAGTGATATTGGTGCTAGGTTAAGAAAAGTATGAAGTATTTGACTATTATCTATCGTTTGTCTTTTCACTATAGCAGTGACACTTTTGAGTATCATAAGGTATATAAAGAAATCTGATAGTGTCTACTTTGTATTTTGGGGGAGGAGAAAGAAGTCTTAATAGTGTCAGATAATCTCCATTCTTCAGAACTGGTAAGCATGAGAATGATATTGCTGATATTTCTTACTCCCCCATGGTATTACGGTCACTGCACTGCGTGTCTATTTTACTTGTTCTAACACTAACAGTGTTGGTGTGAGGGAAGGCACGCTTTACCAAGCATTTACTCCCTTCCCTAAACTTTGTTTAGCTTTTTGTCTTACCTACCTTTAGAGTTACAGTATGTGAAAGAGTAAGAAATAAAAACTGTTCGGTGTGCCAAAAGTGAAGCTGTTGATGTTTTTCTAACTTCAGCTACTTGTCTGTGAAACAGGCTCCTTCTCCTGAAAAGGCCGAGGAGGAGAGCGAGAGGCTTCTGAAGGAACTCTATTTGTTTGATGTTCTCCGTGCAGATCGAACTACTGCTGCCCATGGGTAACTCAGTATTTTAAGAAGCAATTGTAAAAGTAACCTCATAAAACCAAACAGCTCACTAGCTAATTTTCTTTTAGTTGGCTGTATATTTCGAAGTATGACTTTTATGGTGAAAATGAAGCCTCTCATTCAAAGTGCTATTGTGGTAATGGTGAGAGGACTGGCCTGTGGGCTGTTTCAGACTAAGTTTCCATCTCTAAAACCACATTCCATTGAAACCTGAATAACAGAAAGGGAAGGCAGTTCTCTTTACTTTAAGAGAAGTAAGGATTGCATACCTCCATGTCCTAAGTGTTGAGCGCCTGCTGAGCCCTATTTGATGATGTGGTGACCCTGTGTGGGATTAGATTATTGAGAAACCAGGTTTCTTTCGTATCATTTCTGGTTGGCTAAAGTTTTCACTTTTTTGCTGGTCATGTTGTAGAACTGAAGATTCTTACTGTACATGATAACCAACATTAGATGTTTTAATTGCTTCTACCAAATCACACTTAGATTAGAAAATAATAAAATACAGGATTAAGAATACTAAATCTCAATAAACTTAATCTTTGGTTATTATGTTATTCACTTGTCCTAACTAGTCACCAGGATTCAGGAAACAGATAATGTGGCCTTTGATGAGACACTGTGGAACACTGGTTTATATTGAATATTGTATGTAAATTATTAATCAGCTGGCAGGAAAAAAATTTGAATTATCACTATAATTTTTAATAGGATGAGAAATGATCTCACCTAGGAAAAATTTTGAGCCAGAAAGGTCTAGGCGAAGTACATTTGTAATGATCTGGTCACTCATGATTCTAATTTTTCTGCTTTTTAAGATACACATTTAATTGTTGTCAAAGGGAAAATAAAAATAATTATTCTCAAACAGTTTATTTCACTCCTTAGATGAGATAATACTAGTATTTTGAATGAAGATTTTTGTATTCATGCATTAGTGTGGGTCTCTCAAGAGGATTGTGAAAACAACTTTATAATCTTAATGTTACTTAGAGGCTAGTTGAGTTGCCAGGAAACTTCAAATAGGAATCTTAACTGACAGGCACTAAATACCTGTTCTGATTTAGAGTTTCTTCTTTTCCCTTCTAAGACTTGAACTGAGAGTTCCCTTTCTGGATCATCGATTTTCTTCCTATTACTTATCTCTACCACCAGATATGAGAATTCCCAAGGTAGGTGAATCAATTCAAGATAAAAACTGCCCATTGATATTGGTTATATTTGGAACTTTTACTTAGGCCCCTTTTATTTTCATGTCAGAATGGAATAGAAAAACATCTCCTGAGAGAGGCATTTGAGGAAAGCAATTTGATACCTAAAGAGATTCTCTGGCGACCCAAAGAAGCCTTCAGTGATGGGATAACCTCAGTTAAGAATTCCTGGTTCAGGATTTTACAGGAATACATTGAACATCAGGTATAATGTTTTTAAGAGTATTTTCTAGAATTGGACAGTTGGGATGCAGAGTGTAATGATTATTTTTCATTTTGCATTTAGTTTAAATAAAAGTTTGGTGTCTGTAGGAAAGATTCCCTATAACAATACTTTCATAAGAATTTTGTAAGAATTAAATAGTATGAAGAATTATAGAGTCTAGGATTATAAATCTAGAATTGAAAGAAGGGAGACTTACCAATCATCACTGACCTTCCTTTAATACATTTTTGGGTACCTGCTGGGTGCCAGACATTATTAAGCATAAATGAATAGAACATTCAGAGATAGCAGGTATTAGGAATATGCATATGAGTTCCTTAAAAGTCAGTACAGCTATGTATATTGTGATATTTTGGCATTCCCTAAGTGATGAGTAATTTCAACGGGTGTCCCATATAGTTTAGAGTTACAATTTTTCATACCTTTTTTTCTGTGGGGGGTGGCTTTTGAAGTCAGGTTAAATATACAAGTATTTCTACGCTCTTTAAAACACTACTTTGCTTTTATACTCTTATTCTTATAGGTTGATGATGCAATGATGGCAGCTGCAGCCCAGAAATTTCCCTTCAATACTCCTAAAACTAAAGAAGGCTATTACTACCGTCAAATCTTTGAACGCCACTACCCAGGCCGGGCTGACTGGCTGACCCATTATTGGATGCCCAGGTGGATCAATGCCACTGACCCTTCTGCCCGTACTCTGACCCATTACAAGTCAGCTGCCAAAGCTTAGGCACTGTCCAAGCTATAGAGTGAAAGTAAACGTTTCTTCTTGCTGTGAAGGGTAGGGACTTGGGGCCAAAAAGGGGAACAATAAGCGTCAACTACCCAGGCTTGCTTGAGCATAAAAAAATAAAGTTAAATCTGATGTACAGCTGTAGTCATTTATATTCACATCTCCCTTCATTAGAGGTAGTGAGAAACTGAGCAGCCTTTACTGTATCACAGTCAGGTGGAGTGTGAGCTAGGAAAAGGGGAAACAGTCTGATGTTTACAAGACCTCAAAGCACTTGGCCGGCAGGGCTGCTTTTAGAAAACTTGTGGGCCTTGTGCCTCCGTGGCCTGATGACAGTCCTTGCCTCACTGTAGTGTGTTCTCATGATTTCCCTTTCTTAGCTCTTTCTGCATTCCTAATAGCTGGCTAGGCAGGCTCTGGAGAGGTGAGGCCTTTGTAAGAGTTCATGACAGCTCTGTTATATAAGGTAATAATTTACATTTTTTTTTCTATGGAGCCAACATTATTTCTGGAACTATTGTTCTAGGTCAGGGGTCAGCAAACTTTGTGTGTGAAGGGCCAGACAGTAAATGTTTTAGGTCTTCCAGACCTCTGTTGAAACTCTTTGACTCTGCTGTTGTAGTGCAAAAGTAGTCATAGACAGTATGCAAACAGATGGGCAGAGCTGTGTTCTATCAAAACTATAAAAACTGGAAGTAAGCTGCATGTGGCCCATGGGCCATAGTTAGCCAAGCCCTATTCTAGAGGAACAGCTCACGCCAAGCATTTCTGATAAAAGCAAAAAGCATTCTGAACCTCTGTTGGGGAGAAAGAAAGTATAACAAAGAAACCATCAATGAACAGGTGGAAGATTTTCATTTGAATGCCATTGGTTGCCTAGGGACAGCATTTCAAAATACTTTACAAAGATGTCTTTGGTTATTAGGAACTTTGGAGGAGGAAACCACTGGTACACATGTAAATACAAGAATGCTTGATAAGAAGAGTGAGTAGGCCAGGAATTCAGCTGGTAAATCGGAAGGTGAGGGTTGTTTGAGGCTAGCTATAGGCCTTACTTACAATTTTAAAGTGTCTCTAAAAAGCTGAGGAAATGTCATTAATTAATGTTGGATGACTCACTGATCTTGTATTTGTAGGTGCTTGAATTGCTTAAACCTAACAGGATGTGGTTCCAGGCATATCTGCTCAATGGGACAGCCTCACCCACCAAGCTCAGTGACAGGAGGGATGCCTGGGAAACTTAGCTGATAGTGATTACACCATAGACTGCAAGGTTAAGGTATGCCATAAACCACAAACTGCCAGTTTTTGATGGTAGGTTTGGCCCCAGATTTTATGAGATCTGGCATATTTAGATACCATCCAAAATCTTGACAGTACAGAAACTCAGTTCAGCCAGTTTCAGAGCAGCCAAGTCAGTCTTGCAGATCAGCCCTAACTGCAGCTCGCTGGATTTCACACTCGTGAGAGAGCGCCATAAGGTTCTTGGCACATGGTATGAAGTTAGTCTTTCTTCTGTGACTGAAATTGAAGGTTTGAAGGAACCGTAGCCACTGGGGCATGTACATATGACTTAACAGCCATGTCCTGGCCACGCCTGTCTTCTGGACCTTTCTGATATTGGTGACTCAGCACTAGCAGGGCATGTGGTTCAATCCACCCAGCTCTGCTAACAACAGATAGCCCAGCCCATTCAGCATAAATTAAAAGATTATTAGCTGATTTTTAGGCCTTTTCAGCCTAATCCAAGCCCCCTTGTGGATGATGTGCCCTTTGGAGGTTTATTTTACCTTGCCTTGATGCCTATACTAAAAAATACTTCATTGCATTTTTGACAGGATGATATACTTCTACTAACAAAATGGAAAACCACTTAAATCCTACCACTTCAAATAGTTTCAGCATTTTCTTGCAGATCTCTTATAAAGATATAGTATGATCTTGGTTAAGTTAGCCCTCAAAGCTTCTTGAGCCTTCCTCAGGGAATATACTAAAAAGAACTAACCTTGAGCCTGAGGTGTCAGACCATTGTGTGAACATCTTGCTGAGGCCACAGAATCAGGGCATGCCTTGATTCCTCCTGGCCTGGGCTTGTCTTAGTTTGGTCAGGAGTCTGAGATACAGATCCTCTGAGCCAGGTCCTCCTGGGATGGGAAAGCCGGTCACAGGAAGGCAGTTCCGTGTGGTTCAAAACCTGTGTAGTAGATAAATCACTAACCACGTACGTACCTACCAACTGTACTTTATTTCATTAACTCATTCAGTGAGTTAGCCCTCACTCTGAGGAATTGTGCCATACTGTATTTTCTAAAAGTGGCCAAAGCAGTGTATCTGGTCCCACCAACTCTTCCAGAGCCTTGCTGCTCCTCTGAAGAGGCAATCTGTTTCCCCTCTTCTTGACCCTGGGCAGGATTTTATGATGCCTCAACTAGTAGAATCCAGTAGAAGTGGCACTGTGTGACTTCGGCAGCTAGGTCGCAGCAGGTAAGCTGGCCTCTGCTTTCTCTCACTGCACAGTGTAAGGGAGCCCAGGCTGCACAGGGAGGTCATGTGTAAGAGTTAGGGCTGACAGCCCCAGCCAAGGTCCAAGTCATTAGCCAATATCAATCACCAGGTGTGAGTGAGTGAACCTCCAGATGATTCTAGCTCCTAGCTTGAGTCTTCAGCTAAGACCCCAATCATGGGAAGAAGAGATAAGCCATCCCTGTTGTGCTGTGTCCAAATTCCTGACTCATAAGTCCGTAAACAAAGTAAATGGTCTTGTTACCATTACATTTTGGAGTGGTGTCTTACAAAGGCCTTGTAACAGGAACAGATAAGCACCATGACCCCTGTTTGCACAGATTAACTCACTTGCTCAAAGTCGTTCCTTCAGCTCATTACTAAGTGGTGGAGCGCTGAGTTAGCCAGATAGATTGGCTCAAGAGCCTTCATGTTCTTTCCTGACTATCCTGCCTTGTCAGCATGAGACCTCTGCCCAGGTCCCTGCTGCAAACCAGGTGACTGAGGGAAAGGGGTTCCTCTCAGCTTGAGTGGGAAGCAGGTGCAGGGAGAGGGCGTTACTTCCCAGGGGATCACAGTGGCGCAACTAACCATTTTTTATAATAGGACATATTAGATGATGATGAGAAAATCCCAAATTTTCAGTGCATTACCGTAACAAGATTTCTTGCTCAGACTGGATGTTCATCTGAGTCTATGAGAGGGGGTGGTGCTGTGCTCATTGTTGAGGGGTTTATAATCATCCTGGGACTCAGGCTGATCAAGGCACAATCCTGACACATACTTCCATTACCAGCAAGGCAGGGGATGGAAAAAGTGGTGGATCATGTGCTGAAACTTAGAGCTTCTACCCTGAAGTGACACATCACTTTTTCACATAGTTTATGGGCCAAATTAGACACATGGCCATGACTAACTCAAGAGTGCATGTACAAAGAGAAAAATGAAATATTTGGATAACAGCGCCAATGACTCCCCAAATCCATCCTTCAGTCACCAAATACCAGTTTACTCTCTCTTACACACAAAATATATTCCTCTCCTTTTCAAGAGTAACAACCCAAGAATTCCATTTTGTCATGGCCATAAGCCCAGAGTTTAGGATTTCTGGGGGAGGTACTGACTCGGGAGTCTGTGCTTCAGTTCGTACCTCTTCATGAACTGAGAAGAGAAGTTATCTGCTCCCCACCTGTTAATATTTAATAGGAGGGCAGGATAGAAAAATGGCAACAAAACACATACTCCATACTCTTCCCTGAAAAGGATAGAACAGGAGACAAACAGCAAACTCTATTTGGTAGTAATTCTGACACCCTGCTCACAAGTCATTTTGAAGCCCTCACCCTGGGTCTCCATCAGAAAATTGCCCTCTAGCAGTCAGGACAGTGCTGGCAGGAGACAGGAGTCAGAGAGCCTGAGCATAGGTGAAAAACGGGGAGCACTTTGAAGGGAAGCTGATTTTTAGCCATAAAGCTCATTTGACACGTGCTATCATAATTTTGCTTACCCAGAATATTGATCACCATTCCTGAGTTAGCCAAAGACTGCTCTAAAGGCTATAATCAAGTCTTCACAAGAGCCCTATGAGGTATATACTTTTGAGCTCATCCACATTTTATGGATGAGTAAAGTGGTTCACAGGTATTTGGCTGCATGCTCAAGTTTGCATAGCTAATAGAGTGGGATATTTGATCCCAGGGTCCAGGGTTCTAGAAACTTTACACTTAACCCTTACCCTGCTTTACCCATCAAAGGATTAGTGGATAGAGTATGACTATGAGCATGGAAAAAATATAATCTCATAATTTTTCTCCAATTCTGTATTTTAAATAATATATATTCCATTTTATAGGTAGTTCATAAGGTATTTAGCACATTTACTAATTTAAGAATGAGATAAACTGTTTCCACTTTAAAAAATCTGTAATGAACACAGGAGCAATTGTCATTTGTACAATTTAAATCTTAGGCAATTTAGAGATTATGTGACTTAGATGTTATGTGAATTCTTACCTGATTTCAGGCCACAGCCAGCCAGTAAATGAATGCCAGGAAATTAGTTCATAGTCCGCTTTGCAAAATGGAGAATTTTTAATAATGATAGGAAAAAGCTATACTTGAATTGTCAGTGTGTTTTAGAAATTGGTTGTTGCAGTATAAAATGATTTCTATGGTTAATATGCATAAAACCACAAGGTGGCAGCCATCACACATGATTTTCTCTTCAGGCAATTTTATGCATTTCTCAGACATCTTGATCTGGGTAAATTATGACCAATTGGAGATGGTATAGAATATTCTATGATGATATAGAATATTTATTCATAGAATAAATCCCAGCATAAAGCTCCAACATTTGCTGTAGGTTATTAACAAGCAGCTTTAACTTACTAACAGCATATGACTATTGTACAGGGCACTATGAGCTTACGTATGTATGTTTCTTCTGAATCTTTATTTCCCTCCTCTTTGATGCACTCTCCTAAACATACCTGTACAAAGTGTGTCCTTGAAAGGTAAGATCTCTTAAACTCTGAAAGGTAGGAAGGAATGTGGACAAGCCCAAATCTGTTTTTATTTGCCTTTTGAATGTAATCCAATCTACACATGAACTGTCATTTTCATAATTACCCT